TATATGAAGAATCATATTTGATTTTAGATAGGAAAAGCCCTTAATATTGGTGCCAGCTATTGCACGGTCACCCAGTTGGGTTGGGTTGGCTAGAGCGACAAGTTGCAACTCAGCCGGATGTGTTTGGTCTCCTGAGCCTTAAGACAAGCTTAGTCTTAGTAAGAGTTTATCAATCTTATGGAAGAGCAACAATCTTCGACCAGCATCCCAATTTCTACAAATTTAGTGGACCGTGGCCCATTCTGCAAGCTCCGTATAGGATTTGATGCAAGATTAGTGGGCAAAAAAAGAGGCAGGAGACAAACACGTTTCCACTTTGGCAGTTCACGCAGTTGCCCTCGTCATTTAAAATGATAGAGTAAGTTGAGTAAATCATGTTTGTTTGGATTATGAACATTTAAGACTCTCAAGGGCAACCCGAACGTGAGGAAATTCGTCTGACCAGTCAATGCTGGTCGATGCTGATGCGAACCGGGCATGAGGGCACTGTAGTTACTATTTACCTTCATCTTCTTCAAACCCGGCGTCAAGAAGCATAAGTTGGTCTAAATATAAAATATTTTTCAGTCCCCAATTATTCTTATTATCATTATTATTATCATTATTATGAAGCTTATTATTATCAAATTCTAAAATGAAGCTCTGCTCCGATCCATTCATTCGCTTCTGTTCAGTATTGTTTTTGGTAAATATTTGTATTTGACTACTAAATGTTATTTAACATTGTCTCTTTGTCTTCGCTTTTATCCTTTCTTCTCTCTACAGCTTCGTTTTTATTGCGGATACAGTAATAATGATTCAATTAAACAGACAGACAAGTAGGATTTCAATGTGAGATAGTATCCTGCACATATCTATTAAAGATCAAGGTCGATCATTTTAGTTACGAACGTTAACCTGCCGGGAATGCTGACGTGAGGTTGTTAACATGTGCTTGTGCACATTACAATGCGCTTGCAATATAGTAACATGTTGACACACTCACATAAATCACGCAGCCCCGCATCATTCTAGTCTAAGATGGGGATCATATCAATCTGTTCTTGTTCTGTCAATCGGTGATTACTGTAGGATATTTCGACTACTTTTAGATTAGTGCTCCAGTCAGTCAATGTTACACCGTGGTAGAAATTCAAAACACGAATTTTTGGCTTGAACTTTGTTTCGCCGCAAGAAGCGCGGTGGAACTGAAGGGAGCCTTTGAGATCCTCAGTTTCTTTTGTTAGTTCTGTCTTCTTTATTATTGTAGTTGCTGATGTGCTTCTCTGCAAAAAGCGGATTATATGGATGAAAAAGAACAGTATAAATAATTCTACATAAAAAATAATAATGCTACGAAACTGATTGTGGCAATAAACAATGTTCTGGTTTATAGTGATTATCGCTTTAACATATATATATATATATACACACACACACATATACATATAT